CGAGTCAACCACATTGCTATGGGTCTGGAGTCACATGTAGGCCAGACCAGGCAGGGATGGCAGTTTCCTTCCCTAAAGGACATTAGTGAACCAGATGGGTTTTTCCGACAATTGACAATGGATTCACGGTCATCATTAGATTCTTAATTCCAGATATTTATTGAATTCAAATTCCACCATCTACCACAGCAGGATTCGAACCTGTCCCAGGATGTTATCTGGGTCTCTGGATTAACAGTCCAGCGATAATAACACTAGGCCATCGCCTCCCCTGACTGTATGACTGTAAGCCCTCAACATGGTCTTTAAAGTTTGATGCCACTGTTCTAATGCCCTTTGCATGTCTAGATAGTACACAGTTGATTTCAATTGTTTTATTCCTAAGCTATCCGTAACTTCCTTGAATAATTTTGATTTAAAATTTGACCCTTGATCTGATTGTATTTCTGTGGGTAGTGTGTATCTAGTAAAAAAAGGAAGAATGATTCCTGTACAGTCCTTCTAGCCATGATATTGCATAATGGAGTTGCCTCCAGAAATCTAGTAGACACATCCATTATAGAATCATAGAGTTGTACAGCACGGAAACAGACCCTTCCGTCCAACTCATCCATGCCACTCAGATATCCTAAATTAATCTAGTCCCATTTGCCAGCATTTGGCTCATATCCCTCTAAACCCTTCCTGTTCATATGCCCATCCAGATGCCTTTTTAAATGTGGTTATTATACCAGGCTCCACCACTTCCGGTGGCAGTTCGTTTCAGCCACGCATCACCCTCTGCATGAAAAAGTTGCCCCTTAGGTCCCTTCTAAATCTTTTCCCTCTTACCTTAAACCTATGCCCTCTAGTTTTGGACTCCCCCACTCTGGGGAAAAGACCTTGAATATTTACCCTATCCATGCCCCTCACAATTTTATAAACCTCTATAAGATCACCTCTCAGCCTCTGCCGCTCCACGGAAAATAGCCCCAGCCTATTCAGCCTCTCCCTACAGCTCAAACTCTTCAACCAGGTAATATCCTTCTAACTCTTTTTTGAACCCTTTCAAGTTTCATAACATCCTTCCTATAGCAGGGAGAACACAATTGCAAGCAATATTCCAAAAGTGGCCGAACCAATGTTCTGAGGAAGGGTCACCAGACCCGAAATGTTAACTCTGTGTTTTCCTTCACAGATTCTGCCAGACCTGCTGAGCTTTTCCAACAACTTTGTTTTTGTTCCTGATTTACATTTATCGCAGCTCTTTCAGTTTTTAACCAATGTCCTGCATAGCCACAACATGATCTGTCAACTCCTATACTCAATGCACTGACCAATAAAAGCAAGCATACCAAATACCTTCTTCACTATCCTATCTACCTGCGACTCCACTTTCAAGGAACAATGAACCTGCACTCCAAGGTCTCTTTGTTCAGCAACACTCCCCAGGACCTTACTACTAAGTATATAAATCCTGCCCTGATTTGCCTTTCAACAGATATTGATTCTCACTTTTTTTTTTACACATTCAATTAAGACTCTTGCAAAAGTTTCCTCAAATGCTGGAATAGTATTAACGGTGCTGGTTTTATCACTGACTGAGGTTTCCCTATTACCTGACATCTATGACATGTCCTGCAAAATTAAACCACATCTCTATACAGTCGAGTCCAATAAAAATGTTTTTGTATTTTGGCTTGAATTTTCCTTATTTCTAAATGACCTCCTACTGGTACCTCGTGCGCTACCTGCAACACCTTTTTATAACCCACCGGTAATACAACTTGACGTCCATTTTTCATTTGCCTGAATATCTAATGTCTCCATTTCCTCATCAAGACTTCATTTTAAGGTAGTAACATTCTGGGATACACTCATATTCTTCTGTGTATGCTTTTTGATACAACTGCTTTATAGAACATAGAACATTACAGCGCAGTACAGGCCCTTCGGCCCTCGATGTTGCGCTGACCTGTTAAACCAATCTCTCTTCATCTTTTTGTTGCAATTCAACTACTGGGTAAGAGAAACCTAGGGGTTCAATTACATAATTCTTTGAAATTTGCATCACGTGGACAGGGTGGTTAAGATGGCATTTAGTACACTTGCCTTCATTGCTCAGACCTTTGAGTATAGGAGTTGGTATGTCACATTGAGGTTATACAGGACGTTGGTGAGGCCTCTTCTGGAGTACTGCGTACAGTTCTGGTCACCCTACTATAGGAAGGATATTATTAAATTAGAGAGAGTTCAGAAAGGATTTATCAGGATGTTGCCTGGAATGGAAGGTTTGAGTTATAAGGATAGGCTGGTATGTTTTACACTGGACCCTAAAATCAGGAGGGGCATAGACAAGGTGAACGGCAAGGGTCTTTTCCCTAAAGTGCAGAAGTTCAAAATGAGTGGGCATTTTTAAGGTGAAAGGAGAAAGATTTAAAAAGGACATGAGGGACAACTTTTTTTTTTACACTGTTCATATGTGGAATGAACTGCCAAAGGAAGTGGTGGTTGCAGGTTCAGTTAGAACATTTAAAAGACATTTGGATAAGTACATGAATAGGAAAGGTTTGAAAGGATATGGGCCAAACAAGTGGGACTAGTTTGGTTTGGGAACATGGTCGGTGTGGACTAGTTGGACCAAAGGGTGTGTTTTCATGTTGTATGATTGTATGACTCTTTCACCTCCCTGAATTAAAAAATATCCACCTTGTCCTCCACCTGTTCTTGTTTTTTTTTCAACCATTTGATCAAATATAGTTTCTAATAATTGAACTTCAACTTCCTTGTCTTTACTGTTTGATTTCTACTCCTGTTTCAACTGTGGCTTTGTGATGTTGTTATTGCACAGTCAGGAAAAGTCCCAGGATACACCTCCTGTAACATTTCAGTTGCCCCATTTTGCACTGGCTTTTCAACTACAATAGGCATCACTCCCACGTATTTCATTCCCGAGGATAAACTATATCTCCAGAACAGACATTCTCCAACCACCACTTCACCACTTTTCATCCAAATTTCCAACATTATACAATGGAACATTGCTGTTCTCACCATAAATTCCACATATTACCATCTTTCTGGCAATGCTCCTTCCAAAGCACATACTTCCTCATCTCCCACCATCAAAGATTGACTTGTTCCTGTGTCTCTTAAAATTTTAATTTCTTTACCTACTCCTCCTGGTACACTTGAGTAAACCAATTCAAGAGCAAACTATACGGTAAATGGAAAAGCCCTGGGGAAAATTGATGCACAGAGAGATCTGGGTGTTCAGGTCCATTGTACCCTGAAGGTGGCAACGCAGGTCGATAGAGTGGTCAAGAAGGTGTACGGCATGCTTTCGTTCATTGGACGGGGTAATGAGTACAAGAGTTGGCAGGTCCTATTACAGTTGTATAGGACTTTGGTTCGACCACATTTGGAATACTGCGTACAGTTCTGGTCGCCACATTACCAAAAGGATGTGGATGCTTTGGAGAGGGTGCAGAGGAGGTTCATCAGGATGTTGCCTGGTATGGAGGGCGCTAGCTATGAAGAGGGGTTGAGTAGATTAGGATTATTTACATTAGAAAGACGGAGGTTGAGGGGGGACCTGATTGAGGTCTACAAAATCATGAGAGGTATAGACAGGGTGGATAGCAAGAAGCTTTTTCCCAGAATGGGGGTCAATTACTAGGGGTCACGATTTCAAGGTGAAAGGGGAAATGTTTAAGGGAGATATGCATGGAAAGTTCTTTACGCAGAGGGTGGTGGGTGCCTGGAACGCGTTGCCAGCGGAGGTGGTAGAGGCGGGCATGATAGAGCTTTTAAGATGTGTCTAGACAGATACATGAATGGGTAGAGAGCAGAGGGATACAGATCCTTGGAAAATAGGCAACAGGTTTAGATAGAGGATCTGGATCGGCGCAGGCTTGGAGGGCCGAAGGGCCTGTTCCTGTGCTGTAATTTTCTTTGTTCTTTGTTCTAAACCTTATCCACACAGCTAAATTCTTTGAAGAGATCTGGTACTTTTTTACTGACCAACCCCTGACCAGGCTGTACATTCTTTTGCACCTCTTTAGCTTCCACTGGGATGTCCTTTACCACTTAAATAAACCCCAAGGACTTATCTTGTTTTACCACATACGTTTTCCCAGTGTTTTTCTTAAACCACCAACATGTGTCCTACTTTATTACAGTGAAAACACCTGAAGTTTTTTTACTTGCCTTTCTTCCTCATGGGTTTCTTTTTTAACCTGTGGCTGACTATCTATACTATCTTCAATGATATCTCCTTTTCCTTTACTATCGGAGGATTTCGCTTGATACGTCTGTCTCAACCTCTCTTTGTAAGAAAAAAGGACAAAATACACCTCTTAAAGACATAGTACCATCACACAAGTCAAGATAGTGTGTCCTTGAAGGGGAGCCTGCAGGTGGTATTGTTACCATTTTTCTACTAGATCCTAGAGGTCATGGGCTGGAAAGAGCTTGTTGCCAGGTGCTTGGCTTGTCTGAATGATCTCTACGCGTGTGGCAGCTGCGAGTATACAAGGGGAGGTGACAGCCTCATGGTATTATTACTGGACTGTTAATCCAGAAACCCAGCTAATGTTCAAATCCCACCATGGCAGACGGTGGAAGTTGAATTCAATAAAAATTTGGAATTGAGGGTCAAACGATGACCGTGCATCCATTGTCGATTGTCAGAAAAACCTAGTTCATTTATGTCCTTTAGGGAAGAAAACTGTCATGCTTATCTGGGCTTACCTACATGTGACTCTAGAGTCAAGTAGTTGACTTAACTGCCCTCTGAGCAATTAGTGATAGGCAATAAATGCTAGTCTAGCCGGTGATGCCCCCCCTCCTATGAAGGAATAATAAAAAACACTAGGATGAATTATTGGTCATAACCAGAGACAAAAACTGAGCCATCATAGAAGTTTGCTCTGAAAATAAATGACTTTGTCTTCCTCTACTCAGTATTCTCTGTAGTTTCCTTTTATTATTTTTGTACTCATTCCTATTCTACCTTACAGATGAACACTTCACTACTGGGCAGTATTGGTATGCTGAACTCTGCGCCCCAGCTCCGATGTATGAAAACATACCAGGTGCCCCCTGTTCATCCTGCTTCTCCTGGTTCACAGAATGCATTGAAACTAGCACGTCTGATCTGGACCTCCAACCGTAATGTCATCCTTATGGCACATGATGGGAAGGAACACCGATTTATGGTTTGAAGACACCACCTGAATTACATGAAACGTACTAAAGAAATAAAATTGTGTGTACTGTTTGCAAAGCTGGTTAATGTTTACATTAAGATATTATTGTGTAGATTTTTTCATAAAAGTTTATCATAATTTGCAATGTCAACTTTCTGTGGGTTTTTGAAAAGAGATGAAATAGCTGCCCAACAGTCGTACCCGATTGCTTATTGTTTATATCCACCATTGTTAGCTTCAACTCAGTTTTGTTGTGGTTACAAAGCATTTCTTCTATCTTGCTATTGATAGAAGTCAAAAAATTGCAATTGCTTGTATGATGCGTGTCTCATGCCTTACACCAAAAACTGGGCTCTCCTGCAGCTGTCCTAAGAAAACAGTGTAAGATAGGAAGGACAAAAGTCATGTTTTGTCACCAGCAGCAGTTGGACTGAAGAGGACAGTTTCTAAGAGTCTCAAAATGGTGCAGTGGCTTTCATTTCAAGGGTTTAAACTTAAATAACACAGGGCTAATGGAATAAGAGACCCAATATGAAATGAGTTGGTAAAATTTCAACCCAGCCTCTAGTAATAGTGGAAGACAGCATGATGCTGTTCTAACTAGCACTCAAAAAGATCTAATAAAGGCTACTCGGGTAGTGGCAAAGGACTTACAGATGCAGTACAATTCATTTTTCTGAAATTGGAGAAAAAACAGGAAGCATTAGTCTACATTTAATAATACTATACCCAATATAAACTGTAGGAGTTTTTGTTACAGATATTGGGCAACCAATGGAATTTTATTTCATTTCCAACAACTACTGCTGAATAGAGGATTAGACAATTTGACTTGATCTCATGTCTTTTTCTCAAACAAGTTTCTCCTTTTTCAATTATCTAGTACCTCAGTTAAGGAGCTTAGTTCATTGATTTTGAAGTTCTTAATTTTTGTCTCAACACTGCCAGTCCCTGACAACACCTTAATGAATTTTCCATCCAGTTCACAAGTTTTTATCATCCTGCTGGCAGTGAAAGTTTTCAGGTTTTATTTTTATGCGGTAACATGAGTAACCAGCATAAGGTACAGAATGCAGAAGTAAATCTCCTCTGCCATTGAATTTGAAGCAATTTCCAGTCATTTGGTGCATGTATCATATGAAATTTAAAACCCGCAACAGATGTTCTGTTCAATGGACAGTTGAATCCTCTTCAGTTCTACGAAGATCGTTATGACCATTTTAATCATCAGTTACAGGCAGAAAATGTTTACAATAGCTTTCAAAAACTAAAAACTGGGACCACTTTAGCTTGCTTTCTCGCATTTTTATTTTAAAATAAATTAAATTCAGTATGGTAAAACTTTACAGCTGCACACAATCCCTGTTATATATGCCTAACTAATGCATACGAGGAACTGATGTAAAGGGTAGAGTATGCCTTAATGAATTTATAGGTTTGGACAAGTTTGCATGTCACTGATACATAGAATACTTATTGTTGGAAATCCTATTGGATGCCTTGGAAAGGTGTTGCAAAGATCTTTTGTGCAATGCATTTTGTATGAAGAAATCATAGCATTCCAGCTTCTTGAAATATTTGGCCTGTTTCACCAGTTCAAAACTAAATCATTAGTAGATTCGTACTCTTACTAGCAGCAGAGTTAGTCACCCTTACGTATTTTTAAAATCCTGTTAAGGCAAGTATGTCAACAGCATTTTTCCCCCAGTTAAATCTATGTATATTATTGAATCACCTGCACAGATACAACAAAATCCTGATTAATGAATATCTGAACATAAAAAATCGGCAGATTTAGCTGTTTGGAAGGGGTTCATGCAAGGCTGCTATGGTGCCCTAGTATATAACAGTGACTTTTCTTAAATCTGACCTACTTCAAATATACAGTGCTGAGAAGAATGCTTCTGAATGCTATATTTGGTAAATAAGTATCTAAAATACTTTCAAATCTAGTTCAAATATATATTTTGTTAAATTTAGGAAAAATTATCTCTAAACCTGCTAAAGCCATAATGATAAAAATGCAAAACCTTGTCCTTTGCAGAGGTCATGTGATATTGAAGATGCCTGTAATTTGAACTAGATGTCATAAAGAGTATGGTTTGGGCAAAACTGTCGCTTGTCTATTCACTTAACAGGAATTTATGACTGAAAGGATTATTAAATAACTGAATACAGTGGGTGGATGCATAACCCTTCTGTGCTAATAAAAACCTTTTATTTATCAGAAATTCATTCAAGGGCAAAAGGCTAAGTTAATTTTTTTAATGAAGGAGAAAATTACCTTTATTAATTCCAGGCAAAATGTTCAGTATTTCTTCCAAATAACTACCCCCTCTTAAGTTTCTTCTGACAGATGGTTCTTTTTCATAGTGATTTAATATTTATACTTCATGGCTTTAAATGTGTATTGAGAAGGTTTTGTCATATTGTGCATTGTGGGTTCCACTGTTCTGCTCATGTACAAAATTAATTTGCAAGCGTCTTTGATTACCAGATCCAAAATCACACCATTTTACAGAACAAGAGGAAGGTTATTCTTTCCTGTCTGCCTTTTTGTCATATCAATGGTATTTGTTTCTTTTTTAAAGAAATTATCCAATTCATTTTTTAAAAAAATTACGATGACTCCTGCTCCCATCACAATTGCTCAGAACAGCCTATATCCTAAAGATCTTTTGCAAATAAAGAAAATTCTGTCAATCTTCTGTTTTTTTTGGTGACTGTCTTTAATTTATAATTAGTTTATTAGTTCAATGGCCAGTTGAAATTTTTTTCATTCAACATCTCAAAACCCTTCATAATCTGATAATGAAAGGAGTCTCATTTCATTGTTATGATTAAAGTCTCACATCATCTCCTTAATGATTTGCCTTCCCCTATGCCTCTGCACCCTAAACTGGATATAATATTCAGAAAGATAATTTGAAAATTATTAGCATTTTTTTTAACTTTATGCCTCTTATTATAAAATTAAACACCCTTTTGAACCTTTATCAACATATACTCCCACCAATGTGTTCACAAGTTAACAAAATACATATGGAAAAGGTATGCATTTAAATGGGGTGAGATTTATAACTCAGGCTGAAGTGGTCAATAATGTTTACCTGCTTGTTTTGAATCTATTATTTTTGGTTTGAAATCATCTTTATTTTGAGTTAACAACTTATTTCATAAGCTTGTTTCTTTCCAAACTTATACTAAGTTTTCAAATACACACGTACACCAAAAAGCCTTTTATTTACTGCAGGATAATTCACCATCTATTACAAAGTTCTTGTAATTCAAAACCTAATGGAAATAACAACAAGCTATCAAGGCCATTTCCTGTTTTGGTGATATTTTTATGTATTTGATAGAAAATGGGAATGGTTGTCATATTATTCTAAATTGAGTAACAATGCAAAATCTCTTTTTCCATCATATCACACCCAGACACTTTAGTGATTAGAACCAATTGTATTCATCCTTTTAAGCATGTAAAGTGTTAAAAATGTTTATCTGAGTTAAAACAGAAAGTGCTGGAGAAACTGAACAGGTCTGGTAGCATCTGTTCTGAGAGAAACAGAGTTAACATTTCAAGTCCAATAACATTTCTTCAGAACAGTTCCATTGTTTGACTTTTATGTCCCTGGTTTAAGAAGCAGCAATCGGCTACATTTCCCATTTGATTATTATTTGTAGGCCTTTGCTGAATCAGGTGAAGACATATAATTTGTCTTGGCCAAAATGCCACTATGTAAATAGCCTGCTGATATTAACTCTCCAGGCCATCTTGTACAGAATGACTTGTAGAACAAGGATTACTAATGCCGTGAGAATAGAACCCAGTAAGATCAGATATCTTCAAGAAAGGAGAATTGAAGGGAGGAGTACAGCAGTACAGGATGGAAAAATATCCCTGAAAGAAAAACAAACAACTTCAGACCATGTGTTCCAGCGAAGCTCAGCACAAGCTGGAAGAACAACACCTCATTTTCTGCTTGGGGACCCTGCAGCCCTCCGGACTCAATATCGAGTTCAATAATTTTAGGGCCTGAACTCTCCCATGACTAGCCCCCAAGCCCACACACCAAGCCTTGTTATCACGTAGTCTGCCAATACACACCGCCCATTGTTAGCCGCTAACAGTCCCCATTAACATCCTCCCAGCCAAATCATTATCCACTCCTTTGTCTGTCCAACTCTTCTTCTCTCTCTTTGCGCTCTATCCCCACCTACCATTTATTCCTTACCCCCTCCCCTCACCCTATCTTCTGCATATAAACCAACAGTTTCCTAGTTACCATCAGTTCTGAGGAAGAGTCACCAGACCTGAAACGTTAACTCTTGATTTCTCTTCACAGATGCTGCCAGACCTGCTGAGCTTTTCCAGCAATTTGTATTTGAACTTCCGACTACCACATGTTCAAGTTCTAAGGATAAATTGATAGATGTAAACTATTGAGTACAGACTATTTCAGAGTAATCAGGACAATAGGATTCCTTTTTTTAAGAATATTATATGTTCTTACTTACTTTGTGTTTTTCAGATACTACAATTTTCTCTGAATGTTGGCAAGCTGCTGCTAAAATAAATGTTCTTAAAATTACAAATGGCAAACAACAACTCATTCTCATAGCACCTTGAAAGTAATAAAACCATGGTACTTGACAGGTTTCTCAGATGTTTTTTGAGGAAGTGACGAAGATGATCGATGAGGGTAGGGTAGTGGATGTTGTCTACATGGACTTCAGTAAGGCCTTTGACAAGGTCCCTCATGGCAGGCTGATACAGAAGATAAAGTTACATGGGGTCAGAAGTGAGCTTGCAAGATGGATAAAAAAACTGGCTTGGTCATAGAAGGCAGAGGATAGCAGTGGAAGGGTGCGTTTCTGAATGGAGGGCTGTGACTAGTGGCATTCCACAGGGATCAGTGTTGGGACCATTGCTGTTTGTAATATATATAAATGATTTGGAGGAGACTGTAACTGGTCTGATTAGTAAGTTTGCCGATGACACAAAGGTTGGTGGAATTGCGGATAGCAATGAGGACCGTTAAAGCATACAGCTGGATATAGATCAGTTGGTTACTTGGACAGAGAGATGGCAGATGGAGTTTAATCCAGAAAATGTGAGGTAATGCATTTTGGAAGGTCTAATCCAGATGGAAAATATACAATAAATGGCAGAACCCTAAAGAGTACTGATAGGCATAGGGATCTGGGTGTACAGGTACACAGGTCACTGAAAGTGGCAATGCAGGTATAGAAGGTAGTCAACAAATCAGCCGGGACATTGAGTTTTAAAATTGGCAGGTAATGTTGCATCTCTATAGAACCTTAGTTAGGCCGCATTTGGAATATTATGTTCAATTCTGGTCGCCACACTACCAGAAGGATGTGGTGGGTTTGGAGACGGTATAGAAAAGATTTACCAGGATGTTGCATGGTATGGAGGGCATTAGCTATGAGGAGAGGTTGGAGAAACTTGGGTTGTTCTCACTGGAACAATGGAGGTTGAGGGGCAACCTGATAGAGGTCTACAGGATTATGAAGGGCATGGACAGAGTGGACAGCAGAAGCTTTTTCTCAGGTGGAAGACCAGGGGCCATGACTTCAAGGTGCGAGGGCCAAGGTTTAAAGGTGCTGTACGAGGCTGGTTTTTTACACAGTGGGTGGTGGGTGCTTGGGGGAGGTAGTGGAAGCAGATACTATAGTGACTTCTAATGGGCATCTTGACAAATACATGACTAGGATGGGAATAGAGGGATACGGTCCCCGGAAGGGTAGGGATTTTAGTTGTGATGGGCAGCATGTCGGTGCAGGCTTGGAGGGCCTGTTCCTGTGCTGTAATTTTCTTTGCAGGCACATTAGAAGACAGAGGATGACATCAAGCCCCTTAAGCCGATGTCAATTCAGATGGCCAAATCTAGAGTAAAGAGCTGGATTTTAAACAGTGTCTTAAGGAAGGTGAGAGGCAAAAAGGTGTAAGAAGGAAATTTCAGAGCACCGGGTCTAGGCAACTGAAAGTACTGTCACCAATGTAGAAGCAAATAAAATTGGGGCCAGAATTGGATGCGCACAGATATTTTAGAGAGTTATAGACTTGAGAAAGGTAAAGAGATGGAGAGGGCTGAGGCCCGGCCCCAGAAGCATGTGAAAATCAGGATGAGAATTTTAAAACCAAGGCAACAACGAGCAGATGTTAGTTAGCAAACAGAGTTACGTGCTTCACAAGACTTTGTGCAAGTTAATACATGAGTATCAGAGTATTGGATGATCTCAAGTTCTCAGAAAATAAAATGTGGGAGACCAGCCAAGAGTGAATTGAAATAGTGCATTCTAGTGTAGAGGTAACAAAGGAGTTTCAGCAGCCAGTGAGCTGACACAATGTTGAAACCTGGTGATGTTACAGAAGTGGTTATTTCGAGATCAAGTACAACATCAAGATTATGATCAGGCTGTTACAGTCTAAGTCTGTGACCAGGAAAAGGGATGCAGTCTATAACTAGGAAGTGGAACAGGAACGAAAACCATGCCGTCTGTCTTTACAATATTTAATGTGAAATAAATTTATTCCATTTGATTCTGGATGTTATCTAATAAATCTATTGCTTATTCAAGAATGGAGCCAGGTGGACAACAGTGGAAAGGTGTTGGAGGACAAATGTGTGATCAACTGGCAAAAGCTCCAGAGTGGCCAAGTAGAATGGGGGGAGAAGGGAGGTAGGTGAATAGTTGGGGGAATGGAATTGATGAACAGAGTACCTTTGGCATAGATGTGTGCAACTAATGATCTGTCTTCCTTAGCAAAAGGTAAATGCAGTATTTTGTAGTTACGTTGGTGCTGAGATAAATTCATAAAAGGCCCTTCAGCCCATCAAGTTTGCACCAACATAACTGGCTCTAAAGGTGAACTAATCCCAATTTCTTGCACTTGTCCCATATGCTTGAATATTGTGATATTTGAAGTATTCATCCACATATTTTTTAAAGGTTGTAAAGTTTCCAGCCTCCACTACCTTCCGAGGCAGGGTATTCCAGATTCCCACCAGCCACTAAATGAAAAAGTCTTTTTCCCAAATCCCCTCTGAATCTCTTGCCCCTTACCCTAAAACTATGGCTCCTCGTGATTGACCCCTCAACAAAGCTGAACAGTTGTTCTCGATTCACCCTGTTTATATTCTTCACAAACTTATAAACCTCAATTATGTCCTCCCTCAGTCTTCTTTGCCCTAAAGAAAAAAATCCAAGCCTATCTAGTCTTTCCTTATAGCTCAATTTCTCCATCCCAGGTGACATCATGGTGAACTTCCTCTGTACCCCCTCTAGTGCTATCACATCCTTCCTGTAAGGAGGTGACCAGAACTGCACACAGTACTCCAGCTGTGGCCTGACCAACAGTCTGTATAACTTCAACATTCCCTCTTTTCTCTTATACTCTATGCCATGACTGATGAAAGCAAACGTCCCATATGTCTTCTTAAGTATCCTATTCACGTGCTTTGCTGACTTCAAAGATCTGTGAATAATTACCCCAAGATCCCTCAAATCCTCTAAGCGACCCAGTGTCGTGCCATTCATTAAATACTCCCTCATGTTGTTTCTTCTTCCAAAGAGCTTCACCTCACACTTATCAGGGTTAAATACCCTCTGCCACTGGTCTGTCCATCTGACCAACCCATCTATTTCTTCCTGTAACCTACAGCCACCTTCTT